AATTGAGCATTGCAACCCAAGTCTTCCAATAGCAAGCCTAGACAAAATGGTTTAGTGCTTCACCGCTATCCATCCCACAACTCACTATTTGTAAGATTATCATTTCCAACACACATCAAGATAGGGACTCTTGATTGCATAATGTGAATATAAGCAATGAGTTAACACCTCATTGCAAATCATTTCTTCAAGAAGAGAAAATGATTTACGTGTTTGATCCTTCATCCTTGACGACTCTCTTTTCGGTCTCATCTTTGACTAAACTTTAAGCTTGCTTTCACACTGCCTTCAGTTTAATCCAAGAAAAGTTTATAAGAGAGCATGGCAATGACTACTTGAACCAACAGACTTATCCCTACAGTCTTGATTGATCCACTTGTAATCATGCCTAGGAAGGATCCACTAGTGCCGTGCTAAATAGCTATGGACCAGCCTATTTGCCACTCATAGCAAACCCAAGGAGTTTGCTTTCACCCATGGTACAAGGAACAACTCATAGAACCACCGATAGGCTAACATTAATCCTACCAACTCAAAGTGTAACATTGAGTTGCTAATGTGCCTCACTCACGAGCCCAAGCGCAAACTCGTGCTACTGGAACAACTCAATCCTTCCTATGAGCCCAAGAGCAAGCTCATATAATACGGTACAAAACGGTAACCAAAACCATACCCAAGGAACGATTGCGAAGTCATTGCACCCAAACGTGTACCCACTCGAATCATCGTTTTCATCTTTGCGTATGTAACGAGACTAGTTGCCCAATCTCATTGAATACTACTTGCTGAGACTCATCCTCTGATACCAAATGTAGCGCACGTGGTTTTTACCCTTTATCCTATGGTGATTTACCATAAGATAACACCACGAAGCGGAACCTAAACCCTCTTTGTGCCACGTGACAAATGCCATGTGTCACATGCCACGTGTCCAAAGGAACGTGGTGCAGAACCCGAGTTCCAGGGCCTTGGGCCACTGAACAAAGGAACGGTGCCAAACCCCCAAGCATGGAGCCAAGGAGTGACAGAACCGAACCATGGAGTAACTCCCGAGCATATAACCCAAGGAGCAAAGGGACATGAGCCCGGAGTGACTTGGAACAGTCCTAGAGCAACCAGCATCCCAATGCCAGGACCAATACGCAAAACGGAGCCAAACAAAGTCTAGTGCTATTTTAGCATACTGGTGGCCTAACGCGAGGATATGGGTACTCCACCAGCTAGCATGGTGTGGAGCTTGGGCTTAGACTCAAGCCGGACGCAGAACAAGGACAAGCATGCAAGCAGGAGCTAGACTATGCCTCAAGTTCGACAGGAAAAATGGAACATCAGATGGACAGGCTGTATTACACAGACCATTGCCGCTATCTGTGCCGAAGGCCATAAAAAATGCTGCTGAGATCTCAGGGATGAAACAAGAACACTTGAGGTAAAAGTTCCGTCGTTTTCTTTGCAATTGTAACCGGGTCTTTCCGAGCAGGGATGCTGGTTGAGTTTTGGGCTTCCATTCCATGCTAGCTGGTGGAGTACCCATGTCCTTGCGTTACTGAGAAAGCCAAACTTACGGAGGTGGAAGTTGGTGATGAACTTCTCTGCTCTCGTTCCAACAAGGAAGGATTTCTAGAAACTAGCTTTGATACAATTTGTGGCTTGTATTTTCTACCATTGCAAAATTGTCGGCTCTTACCAGTCCTTACAGGATTGGTGCAAACGGAGCCTTAGTGGATGATGAAAATCTGCTTTTGCTCGACAGTGGCGCACAATATACAGATGGAACAATGATATAACCAGGACTGTTCATTTTGGAGTACCTTTTCCAAGCGCGCAATAGCATCCCTCAGGCATGTCCTGCTGGTAAAGACAAGCCTTGGTATTCTTTGCTAACCTTAACGTGCCAGGGCTTGTCCGTGTAATGGGAGATACGCAAGTTTTAAAGGCACCCTCCGGATCATTTGTTGTCTTTTTAGCTGACTTGTTTGTATTTTAGGGGCACATATCGATTGATCAAGCAGTTTTCCCAGAGAATACTCCAGGCTTTGTTCTCCTCGTGGAGAATTGAACTTGACTATTGTCACGGTAGTGTTTTCTTGCCTACAGTGAATTAAGTACTCTCTTGCTGTGCAGTGGAAATGTAGGAACTGGCCATTGAGTTGGCGCCGCTCTCAATGTCCATGAAGGCCCTCATCAGTTTTCGATTTGGAAACATGACTGCATGATAATCAGCAACAAGCCTGTTTACTATGAAGATCACAGCTTTGGAATTTGAATAGAGGTGAGACAAGAAAGTTAATCAGAATAGCGCTCTTAACATTCTCTTTTTCATTGTGCAGAATTTACTTTATTTTCTTATTATTTCTTACTAAATGGACATAACATGTACGAGGTATCCATCTTTCACGGATGGCATTGGCCAGTAGCTTGTTTTACTGTTTGGATTGACAGGCTCCCATCTTCAATAAAAGATTACAATTTGTTGACAAGAAAAGAGGAGCAAAAGAATTTACCTGTATTTTGTGATAAGCCTGTGTATGAAAATCATTTGCTCTAACAGACTTAATGCACTTCCTGGGCATATTCTATCTCCATAGCCAAATGGAATAAATGTGCCAGTTTTAGCTGGAACCTAAAATAAAAGGTTTGGTTTAGTATAAACACGAAAAATACCATACTTCAAATCTGGATGGATTAAATTTTGCTGCATTAGGGTAAATGCTGTCATCTAAGTGGATTGGTGGTATATAGACATGAACCATCCAATCTTTGGGCAAGGTGTAACCTGTTAACACCAACAAAGTACACAAATAATTGGAATTAGCTTCAATCATATGTAATAAAACCTTTGTAGCTGATATCCTTAGTGAGTTTACGTGTCACCACCCCCACAACATTAGAAAGCCTCAGACTTTCATTGACAGCCTACAAAAGCACTCGAATTAAATCTAACATAAAATTGGAGTTTAGTCCACAACCCTTAGAGTAGCTGGCATCTGGCTTGTGTCTTCCCAAGTTAAGTTGTAATTGGTGGAGCTTTTACCAAGAAAGATTCTCCTTTGCTCCTCCTAGAAATCAAAATAGAATTTTAGAAAATCACAATAATAATAATAACAATAATAATAACCTCCACTTCCTTGAAAGCCTGTGGGTTCCCATTCAAGTGTTTCATCAGCCACACGAGAGCAAGGGCTGTGGTGTGGTGGCCTCCGAACAGCAGTGTCACGAGATTGTCTTCCACTTGTTGATTCGAGAGGAATCCAACCTTGTCATCTTTGTGCGTAATAAACTCGTCCAGCGCATCTTTGCGCTTTTCACCGTTGGCAGCTAGTTCGGCCCTTCTCTCGTTGATGAGCCCATCCAAGAATCTGTGGAGCCTTGCCCTGGCCTGCTCAATTACAACAATAGATCTAGAATTAGAAAAATAAAAAACCACGCAAAAACCTGTAACGCTTTGCGATAAGGTGAGAAGGGTAAGTCGATTGGAAACTGGAGCACCCCATTCTCTATCGTTTGGGCGTCTTTCATGAGATCAATCATCTCCGGAGTGGAGGGCAGGAGTTTCTTGCACACTAATCCAATCAACGTGCAGTAGCTGAACTGGCAAAAGTATAAAACCAGATCAAACGATCAAGCGACACAAAGATGTGATGAAAACCTTGAGAGTTTCTTCCATAACCGACACCGTCTTTTTCGACCCCCATGACTCGAGAGTATCCTGAGCCAAGATATCAATCATTTGGACGTGGCACTTGAGCGCCTCTGGAACCATCAGCCCTAGAAAGATTCTCCGGTAGAGCGCATGCTGACTCCCGATGACCTCGTTTATAGTTTCTGGCCCAAGCAATCGGGCAAACAGACCCGAGGGGCCACAGTCTGCGCAGCTGAGAAAGAACTTGGCCGACTCTACCGTTGTTGCAACGATGGTGGGAGATCCAAGCAAGTTACTCCAGAAAACTCCTCCAAATCTGTAGAATGATCACAGTTAGTTAAAGCAAGATCGAAGCGAAAGTCACAGAAGGACCGCTTGCATCGAGTGCTGAGAAAGCCCAGAGGGGATCCCCAAAAGAGAGAGAGAGATTCTCCGACAAGAGGCAAGCCATGGCTTCCCGGCGGGAGTTTGATCGTGGATGATTTGTAGAACTTTTGGGAGATTAGCCACAAAGAGAGTAGAAACATGAGAAAGTACAGAGCATTCCAGGACTGCAGGAAAAGCTCCATGTTGCGAGAAGGAACGAAGCACTCACTCCACAAGTTTGAGATTAGCCTCTCTAATATATCCTGCACAAACCAGACTTCAGTTGGCTTCTTTCGAACGGTTGTTGTGAAGTCTTATTTCTCTCTCTTCTTTTGAATGACAAATTTGAAGTATTATTCTGAGGACTCAGTTTGGTAAGCTGCTGCAAGACGGAGAAGTCATTTTCTTATAGAAGACATTTTAGCCACTGGCGAAAAAGACTCGGAAAAATCCACACGAAGTATCCTCTCGAGCTCCCATAAGAAATTTCAGGACAGAAATACTGAACAATTGTCACATTTAGAGAAATAATCCCATTAGGTCGGGGGATCACGTATGTGGATTAATACAAAAACTAAGCTACTTTACATAACACTTTTATGTCTTAACTAGGTCTAATCCTAAAGTAAAAGTGGACATGGTTGTCTCCTTCGATCAAATAAAGAATAGTGTTAAAGGGGTGCTACTGTTAATGGATTTCATCATCGATCACCCTGCCAAAACATAAGACTCAACTATTCTATCACTCCCCCAAATGATTGGGCCTTGCCTATTCCTTTAGGCTGCCAGAGTAGGTCCGAGGATAACATGATGTTTAGTTTTTCATCGAATTGTTTTCGTCCTTGGAATCGAGCTCCAGACCTGAGAGCTAGTTAAAAAAGCTCACTTTGTAGCTTGCAAATTCTCTCAGGGCTCCTCGCCTCGCGCGATGATTGCTGAGGTGTATTTGGATTTCCAATCACCCGGGCCGCCATTCGGTTCTCGCAGCTGCCGCGCACAGGGGCATTGGCGCCGGAATCAGACGCTTCTCTTCGATTTCCATGGCAATGTAGGAAATCTCACAGCATTGTGTTCGGGATCCAGGAATCCGGGGCCCGGGATCACGGCAGAGCCTTCGTCCGTCAGGATTGCGAGGAAGAATGCCAAAGACAAGGAATTTGTTCCTGATAAGAAGCTGGGCATCGTGATAACCATGCTCTGATGAAGTTGCATGGCTGTTTAATCTTGTAAGTGAACGTCTGTACTTTTCTCTTCTGAATTTTTATGTTTCAGCGTGGTGGCGATGTCCCTCATTCTCCAGTGGCTTATGCTTACGCGCTTGTCGAGATGGACAAGGCAACTCTTTTCACAGATGTGTCAAAGGTGACGCCAGACGTTGAGATGCATCTGGAAAACTCTTCTGTGACCGTCAAAGAGTACTCCGTGCTCCTATCAACTATTCAAAGGTGTGCTATCATTTTGATGTTAGGGAGTTGCTAACGCAATGTCCTTTTAGATTAGCTGAGTCGGGCTCAAAATTGTGGCTAGATCCAACCAAAACCAACATGGCCATTGTGAATGCATTTTCGGAAGGATGTACGAGCTTTTATGCCAAAGCGGATGTCGACGGGAAAAGTGGAACATCAGATGGACCGGCTGCATTACACAGACCATCGCCGCTATCTGTGCCGAAGGCCATAAAAATTGCTGCTGAGATCTCAGGGATGAAACAAGAACACTTGAGGTAAAAGTTCCGTCGTTTTCTTCGCAATTGTAACTGGGTCTTTTCCGAGCTAGGATGCTGCAGCGCTGGTCGAGTTTTGGGCTTGGCTCGAAGTAAAAATCGTTACTGAGAAAGCCAAACTTACGAAGGTGGAAGTTGGTGATGAACTTCTCCGCTTTCGTTCCAACAAGGAAGGATTTCTAGAAACTAGTTTTGATACAATTTGTGGTTTGTATTTTCTACCATTGCAAAATTGTCGACTCTTACCAGTCCTTACAGGATTGGGTGCAAATGGAGCCTTATTGGACGATGAAAATCTGCTTTTTCTCGACAGTGGCGCGCAATATACAGATGGAACAACGATATAACCAGGACTGTTCATTTTGGGGTGCCTACTGCTTACCGGAAAGAGTGCTTTACACGAGTTTACAGGTACGCTCCGGATCTTGTCTTGGCTTTTTAGCTGACTTGTTTGTATTTTAGGGGCACATATCGATTGATCAAGCAGTTTTCCCAGAGAATACTCCTGGCTTCGTACTCGACGTTCTGGCTCGTTCGTCCTTATGGAGAATTGGACTTGACTATCGTCACGGTATTTGCAGTGAATTAAGTACTCTCTTGACTGTGCAGTGGAAATGTAGGAACTGGTCATGGAGTTGGCGTTGCTCTCAATGTCCATGAAGGTCCTCAAAGCATCAGTTTTCGGTTCGGAAACATGACTGCCTTGTAACCGAGAATGATAATCAGCAATGAGCTGGTTACTATGAAGATCACAACTTTGGAATTCGAATAGAGGTGAGACAGAAAATTTTCTCTTAACACTCTCTTTTTTCAATCTTTGTGCAGAATTTACTTCATGTTTGCGAGGTGGAGACACCAAACTGCTTTGGAAGAGTTTCCTATCTAGGATTTGAATGCCTGTCGTTCGTTCCAATCCAGGTAATGCGACTCACATTCATCCAATTCCTCACTCATCTGTTCCTCTTCCAGACAAAACTCATGGCCCTTCATCTCTTGTCCGACGAGGATATCTCTTGGGTGAACAAGTATCACGCTGCAGTCTGGGACAAGGTAAGCTTCCATAAGAAATTACCAGTGAAACCACTCTTTCACTCATCAGGTATCTCCGCTTGTGAATGAGAGCGCTCGCGAGTGGCTAAAGCGAAATACTCTTCCTATCAAAAGAGCGTGAAAGGTAAGCAATGTGAATCCTATTGTCTCATGGTGAACAGTAACTATTGTCACTCAATGTGAATCCTATTGACTTATGGAGATCACACAATGAACTTATCCTATTGTCTCAAGATGTTAGCTATTAGCTATTGATGTTATTCTGGAGTATATCCTATTGTCTCAAGGTGAGCTATGGATTCCACGGCGATGACGCTCGACAAGACCACGGCGCTCCACTCCGGGGTTCCAGCGACACCACATTTTCCGCCGCTCGAGCCCCCATGGCCAGATCTGGCTGGCTCTTGCAAGCGCCCAGCAGCGTCCTCCAATCCAGCCGCGATGGAAGAAAGGGCATGGAATCCATGAGATCTTGTGCGTCGCGGAGCTGCCCGGCGCGGCTGAGCGAATCGACAAGGCAGCTGTAGTGTTCTTTGACCGGATCGAGCGATGGAGAGGAAGAATCCCCTGGCCGAAGCGAGCATGACGCTAGCGAGCGTGGATCCATCGGGCTTGACACCTTCTACGAGCATCGCGTGGAAGAGATGGATCGCCAGCTTGCGCCGCTCCACCGGCCCCGCAAGAGCGAAGGATTCGATCATATGGAAGAGCGATCGCCCAGCATCTACGGGAAGAGATCCATGGAGGCGAGCAGCATCGAGCACGCGATGGCGTCCCACTGGGGCATCCGATCGAAGAGCTTCTTCACGTCGTGGATGCGCTGGCTCTGCGCGTAGCCCACGATCATGGCGGTCCAGGCGACGAGATCGCGGCAGGGGATGGAATCAAACATCCTCGATCCTGCCCAGCGAGGCACGTCCACGCCATGGTGCTGTGCATCTCCAGCCAGATCTTGGCCGACTCCATAGCCCCGCTCTGCACGATCGATTGGATCATCTCAAACCAGGATACCGCGTCCCTGCGAGGGATCCTCTCGAAGACCCAGGTGGAATCCTCGACGCTGGCACCGCACGACTGGAGCAAGAGATTCCAGGAGACGGTGTCTCGATCCGGCATGGAGGAGAACAAGCTCCAAACTCTCTGGGGATCCCCAGCCTGGGCATATGCTTGGAGCATCACGTTGGTGGAGACGAGCGACCATTTCGGGCATCGATCGAAGAAGCAGTGCTCCGCGTCCACGATGGTGTTGCAGTAGAAAATCAAGGTGGTCCATGACACGGCATTCCTCTCGGGCATGGCTGCAAACACAGCCTTAGCTTCTTCACGATGCCCTTCTTGGGCAGTGGCTACAAGCATAGATGTCCATGCCACCACATCTCTTTCGGGCATTTTGACAAAGATATCTTTTGCGTCTAGAAGCTTCTGGTTTGCGGTGTATCCATGGAACATGATATTCCAGAAAACAAAGTTTCGATCAAAGCCAACATCACCTTTGTCTCATCCAGATGCCCGTTCTGGGCATACGCTGCTACCATCGCCGAGAAGCTCACTAGATTTCCCCCCGGCATTCGATCAAACACCATCTTTGCGAAAATGACAAGCCCATTTTCCAAGTAGGCCTGAAGGATCGCTGTCCACGAAACAACGTTCTTCTCGCTCATCTCCTCGAACATTTTCCTCGCGGAGGCAAGATCACCCACTTGGGCATATCCCGTGATCATCGTCGTGCACGAGGCAATGCCGCGATCTGGCGCTGCGAAGAACAATCGCTCGGCCTCGCCCAAATCTCCATCCTGAACGCTGGCACCGATCATTAGATTCCAAGAGACTAGGCTCCTCTCGGGCATCTTGTGGAAGACCAAGCGCCCCTCTTGGCCATGCCCGTGCTGCACAAATCCCGTCGCCAGAATCGTCCAACACACCACATTCCTGGCGCTCATCCGATCGAAGCACTCCTTGGAGCGCTCCACCTGGCCGCTGCGATTGTAGACCTGGAGCAAAGCATTCCAGGAACTGATCGATGGTCTCGCGATCCCCTGGAACACCGCCCTCGCCTCCTCGATCCGCCCATAGCGGCCATAAACCAGCGCATTGGCGAGGAACCTGTTGTGCCTGTGGAACTCGCTCGCCCCAATCCATGCCTGGATCTATCTGGCGCGCCGGAAATCCCTCGAATTCCCACACTGGAGAAGGCAGTCGATCACCGCCTGGAGCTGCGGCCAGAGATCTTGAGCGCGGCGGCACGAGCAGCAAATTCTCGACAATAAAACTCCAAGAGCCCTAACGGTTGTTTCAAGTAAGAATATCCCAGGAATAATCATCTCAAGAACCCTAAAACGAATATCCCGGCGAATACTCCAATCCAAGCGGAAGGAAACAAGCAGCAGCAGCAGCAGCAGCAGCAGCAACAAAACATAGAATCCTTGTTAATCACCATCTTTTTTGGGGAGCTCTTGCTGCCGTGATAACAGCTTATACACG